CCGGGGGGGGGGGGGGGGGGGGGGATCAAGTTTAAAATCAAGGTCACTTCAGAAAAATAAACAGTAAAAACACAATGTAAATCAGTCGTCTTTTTCGCATGGGAGCTGATCTTCTGAATTCAGAGTATGATTTTGGGAAGTTCTTTCTAAAAGGGATTTTATTTGCAATCTGTATTACAGCGAACCATGGCTTTAACCATGAGATTATTTATAATTTACATATACTTTATTTGATGTGTATTTCTTTAATTCTTAGCTATTTAAAACTAATACTGATTCACGCATGATATAACAAAATCCAAAGAACTGTCCTACTGCATAAACACATCAGTGACTAGATGGAAATAAATATTTTGACTATGAACTTAGCTGACCAACTATTGATTAATTTGAATTTCTTTGAGGCTAAAAATAAATAAATTGATAAATGAAGTTAGACAATAACTGCCATCGGTCATAAATAACAGCCCAAAGTTTATTTTGAAAAAACAATTACATATTCTGTTAAGTACGAATTACCACATTTTTCAAAGGACATATTGTTCTTGATCATTAATCAATGTGACCTCTGTGCTGAGTGTTAATCTGAACCTTTGACCCAGTGGGTTGGGTTCCATCTTAAACCCTGCAGTAAAGATGAAGCAGTTGTTTCTCTGCAGATGATGACCTTGACCTTAGTGAAGTGGTTTATAAATATGTTTTATTATGAACCATAATTAGTCTAATTTACAAGTCCATGGCCCTGGTCTGCATAATATATATGCAGGTCAATGTTCTGCCAAAGATCATACACACTCAGCTGAAATGCTGATTTCCTCCAATGAAAAAGATCTGGGGAATCAGGATATAAATGTGATTGGGGCAGGGGAATCCTGCTCTACAGGCATCACAGGGGCCTCAGTTACACAACAAGATGAGTTTCTGCCAAGTCTGCACATTATCTTAGAATTTTTTTTACCTAGTATATCTGCAGTTCTCCCGATGGCTGCCTTATTTGGGCTGAAGTAGGTCTGCTCTTCTCTAAAATCATAAATGAAAACAATGTTTATTCAAAAATGTTTCCAATAATAACCACTTAAAAGCCTGAGTTGGTCTAGAGAGAACCATTAGAAAGTGTTGATATGCTAACCTTGCCCCAACCATGCACAGGGTAGACCCAAGGGAAAACCAGACGATTCTACCCGAATTTAATACAGTGTTGAGAATTCCATCCATCCATCCATCCATCCATAATCCTCATCCATTTTCTCCCGCTTATCTTCGTCAGTGTGAGAATTATTATAGATTATTATAGAAAACACTGAGCATGATGGTGTTGAGCATTGTCAGATTGACAGTACTCTACCCCAGTGGTGCTTGGGGGGGGGGCACCGGTGCCACCCTTTTAGACACGTCCCTGGCCCCAAATATCCTCTCTCACCTTTTTTTCTTTGTCAGAGCATTTAACCTCACCAAGGAGGCGAGAGCGTTTTTTTGCGTTTCCGATGAAAGGACGTCGTAAGATTTGACTTCCCCTGTTGAGAACACAAACATCCTCACTGACTGCAGAGTCCAAAGTTAAGCTGTTGTATATTAATAAATAGTATGTTAGAGAGGGATACCTGTTAGGATAAGGTTGAGAGTGAAGGTACGAATGCCAGATATAAACTGCTTTTCAGTAAATTCTTGAACACTCCTGCTACAAATGTATCTGAAGATCACCTAGACAAATGAAGAATGAGGCACATTGTCCAGAAACAAGCAAATCTTTGTAAAATTTTCATATGCAGAAGTTCACAAATTCCCAAGGCCTGGGACAGAGTGCTTAGCTAGTAAGTCCCAAATGAAAATAAAATATCCCACAGACATTTACCTGATATGCATCTATGAAGGGCTCTACTGCAGCAGTGAGGAATGACGTGACACTGAGGCCCTTGTCTGTCACCATGATGTTCTGGTTTATGATCTGGACAGTGCCGCACTTCTGTAACAAGCTACAAGCTTCCTCAAAGTCCTGATGGAAAAATCACAGAGGGAGATCTGAAACATGCATCCATTTTCTGGAACTGCTTGTCCTATTCAGGGTTGCAGAGGGTCCAGAGTCTATGGGTGCAAGGCAGGGAACAACCCAGGATGGGGCACCAACCCACTACAGGGCACATTTACACACCATCCACACACATGCATACCTCTGGGCAATTTGACAACTCCAATTAACCTCAGCATGTTTTTGGAACTGGAGGAAACCCAACAATGACAGAGAACATACAAACTCTACACACATGGAGCCCTGGTGGAGACTCGAACCCAGGTCCCAGAGATGTGAGGTGACAGTACTAACCACTGTTACCACCATGCTGCCCCCATCCAAAACAATGCATTTAATTTATCGTACAGCAGTGTTTTCCAATCCGGTCCTCCGAGACCCACAGCCGGTCCATGTTTTTGCTCCCTCCCAGCTCCCAGTAGGAGGTGGAGTATCTGTAAGCGAGCTCAGTGGGAACAAAACATGGACCAATTGTGGGTCCCCAAGGACCGGATTGGGAAACACTGTCATAAAGAATTAGCTACTGAATGGATAACTTGTATTGTGGTAGGACTGCTGCAGGATTGTGGTAGGCCAAAGTTCATTCCTGGAAAGCCCACCTGACCTGTCCTGTCCGGAATGAAGATGAACTCATTGTAAAACATTTCCCGGAGAAATGCATACAGGTTGTATATATCCGCTGCATTGAAAGGAAGAGACAGAAAATTAGACGGTCTGTACTGACGTGATCAGGCTGAGCAGATCGTCACACCAGCCGGTGAGGAGCTGCCTCACCTCTACTGGAAGCTGCTGCCAGACTCAGGGCCACAGACAGCATGGCTGGAGACGCCAAAACATGCAGCGCTTGGTTCCGATACGAGGCACACATGAGCACCGCGACAGCCCGTCTGAACACGGCCTCCTCCGGAGCAGCTCCCCTCTGCGGCTTCTGCTCCGCCAGGAGCACCTGGTCCCCCTCACAGCGCACCACAGAATGGTGAAGAGACAGGCCGGATGACATCACTTCGCTGTCGGCCACCTGGACTGCGGTGCGGGGCGCGGAAGTAACGCTATCACACAGTGACATGCTCAGATATCCTGTCACAAATCTGCAAGACGACCACACTTTCAATGCTGATTGACGAAGACAGGCCAAGAACCTCTTATCTTTGCATGTGAGAACTTCTATGTGAATTTAATATACAGTACTGTGCAATAGTCTTAGGCAGCCTCTAGGTGCCTTTCTAACTCAACCACTAATCAATAATCAAATACAGCTAATCAATATCTCTGACTTTATCCTACTAAGTTGGTGGTAACATTTAATAAATAGATGGAAAGGCTGAGGTGCCCCTGAGGAGAGGTTTGGGAACTGAAGCTGGTGTTCATCTAGCCATCCAACTAGATATCAGTAACTTTTCAGAGAAGAGAAGACATTATTACTAGATTTTATTGTGTTACTCTGCATGAATTTGCATATGTTCTAATGTTAAATTGTGTTTGTTCTGAGGAAATGTGCACTTACTACCCAGATAAACAGCTTTAAACATTTCTTTCAACTGCCTAAGACTTTTGCACGGTACGGTACAATTTATTGTACTTCACATCAAATTAAGAACTAAAGTACTACCAGATAACTAAATTCATTTTTGGAATGTATCTGTTAGAGTAGCTTTGGCCAGTGTTACCAGTTTCACAATGAGGGACAACAAACCTGGCCAGTCTACGAGAGCCCCGAAGTCCAGTACCAGCCACTTCAGCCACACCGTCTGCTTGGTGAGGAGCTTCAGGTTGATGCCGCCTAAGTTCTGCATCAGGATGGTGGCCATCAGACTCCAGGGGCTTAGCACCATGTTGTCCTGCTGCAGTCGCAGCACCAGATGTGCTGTGGTATTGGCAAAGGCGTGGATGCTCTCGCTCGGCTTCATGGGAAGGTCCCTGCGTGTCGGAAAGGGCAAAGCAGTTAAGGTTAGCTCCACAGACTGTTGGACAGACAGGATTTTCACAGAAAGAAACACAGAACAATTTGCCAGAATTCATAATGTTCTCCGCAAACTCCTACCACCAGGTCTTACCCACTCACAAACATTACCTTGGGATTAAGTTGTACTGCTTGCGGTTAACCTTCCCTTTGGCCAAGTCCCTCACCGACAGAGGATGGCCAAAGCAGACGTGCATGTTGCCATAATCCTCATCCATAACTTTTCGGGCTTTCAGCAAACCCTGAAGATGGTACAAGAGCATCTTACTATTGTATACGTTCGATATAGGAAAACAGGAAGGAACACAAAAAGTTATAAATTTATCTGTACTTAACACCAAATTAAGAGCTAACATACTGGAATCTTCTGTTTTACTTTTAGTTGAAAATAATTATACACACCATTGTGTGTTCTGGAATGCTTAAAGCAGCTGATTGGTGCCACCATTAATTTGTTAGCTATGGGCACTGTGGCACCAATCAGATCATATTTATACAACTCTTCATGTGGTTTGCAATAAAAGGACAGTGTTTCCCTACTTTTGATTTAAACAACTGACTTCTCAATTCAGAATCCCAGCCACTGAGAGATTGACTAGAAAGAGGCTTACCATGGTGGTCTCCTTTGGTTTGGGGACTCCCAGTATCTCATAGGCCAGCAGGGATTCCTCCACCACACGGTCATAGCTGATGCTGATGGGTACCAGGCTGATATCGTAAACTTCGCCTTTAAAGAAGGGCTCCAGTACCATGTGCATCATCCCTTTAAATTCAGGAAATGGCAACATTGTAAACACATCTATCAGGCCACACCTACAATCTGCAGCCTGGGGCCTGTACCACAAAGCTGGATTTTTAGGCTCGCAAGGTAACTTGTCAAATTTAAGATAATTTGGACTAAATGTGAGTGAACAAAGATAAAGTTCTTTTAAACTGGGGTACCTTAAATCCGACAAGTTAGCTAACCAACAAATCTCATTTTGTGATACAGGCCCCTGATCCCAAAATGAAATTCTTAGCCGTGAGAAGCAGTTAAACCACAAAGCTGGTCAACAACATTTCACTGTAAGGTGGTTTGCACCAGTGCAGAGAATAAAGTCAATCCCTAAATTGATTAGCAAAAACTGCAGAATTTTCCAGAATCTTCTGTAACACGGGAAAAAGAGGGAGCTGATCACTCACCCAACTTGGGTGGCAAAGACTTCAATGTACGACTCCGAAGTCCCTCGACGTAGAATTCAACTGGAGCGAAATCTTTCTGCGCGACCACAGCAAATCAGCATAAACACGCGTGAATCTTTATTCCACTGGTAGATTTTTTATAATTATTTGTTCTCTTGCATCGGTGCACGCTATAGAAAAAAAGGAACTGCGTATGCTGGGTATAAGATTTTAAAATAATTAAGTTAGTATAACATTTAATGATAATTAATATTAACAAGAATAGCATCAGCAAATGCCTACACCTAAGCAAAAGACTATGATGTGGTTATAAATTTCTCTCTGAGATACAATTTATTGCTATGAGACAAACCCATTAGACAGACAACCAGCTAAGCAGTCCAGGATTAAATGTAACTTCAGAATGTCCACTGTCATGCATAGCTATTCGTGTGCTGGAATCCAGTAGGGACATACCCTCAAGATGGTTTTCACGTACTCAGAGAGCACGGCCCAGTACAGCTTGTCGGTCCCAATGGAACGTCGGATGAAGAAAGCACCGGATCTTCTCAGTATCTCACCGATAAGCTGCATTCCCATCAGTGCTGGAAGACAGCGAGCACAATGAGGGAGACAGTTAACTATAAATGGCCTCCTCTACAACCCAAGTGCGCTTCTCCTGGAGGAAGATCTGTTTAAAGTTCCACAGAAAAGGGATTTGCTGGATGCACAGCCGATACTCCATAGAACACATGACAGCTGATAATGAAAAGGGTCTTTTGGAAACCCGGCACGCTGTAGCTGAAATAAGAAGCTGCCCCAATGACACAGCATGTGTGCAGTAGATACTTGCGGATTCCAGCAGCAATGACAGGGATGGAGAGGTCGTAGGTGAAGAGGAGGTAGGAGAGCACCAGGAAGTCCACGTAACTTCTGTGATTGGGCATCAGCACCACTGGAGATTCCTGCATGGCTTGCTGAAGCTAAGGTGGGATGTACACACACATATTATAATTATATTACATTATATTATATATACACACACTGTCTGCAGATTTATTAGGCAAGTACTATTCCTGTAGATCATTTTTTAGCCCAGATCATCACTCCTCCATTACACTGTAGGTGCTAGAACGTGTCGATCCATGGGTCCATCCATCTACTCCATCATGAATCACTCCATAGACATCATTAAGTCTGATCACTCGGGGTTACAGCCTATAGTCTAGCCCAGAGGCCAATCTCCTTTCAAAAGATTTTTTAAAAAGTCAAGCCCCAGGTAAACTCCACTTATTCCCTAATCTTTTCAATAGCTAGAAACTCCCCTGAGTCACTCTAATTTCATATTTGTAAAATCAGTCTTGAGACGTATCTTAGCTTGTGTGCCTTATTAGGTGCTTTCACACCGAAATTTCAGAGCCTGGTCTTGGTTTACAAGTTCCCTTCGCTGTCTTCAGTGGGGACTTTTGTAGGTCCTTTTGTGCACCACTTTCACATTGCAGAACAGGAACAGGAACCTGTGTGCTAAATAAGCATAGGAGCTTGTATTTTCGACTTCACACATAATTTGATATGAAACTACAAACTCTACTCCAAAACAATGGAGGCTAAAAAAAGTCGTTTTGTTAGTTATTGGGGGGGTCAATCCCAATCAAAACGGGACCTTCTATTCATGACAACTTCATGATTCTTATTAAATCTGACCAACAGATCGACCTTCATTTTCCACAGAATAAAAAACGATGCAACGTTATCCACACTAATAACTTTTTGTAAGGTTAACTGCCGGCGCTGGCAATATTAGACAAAAGTACATTAGGTTAGCGATCGAATTTTCTGAAGCAGAAATATGGAGAAGCACGCAAAAAATGTATGCTTTGGTGGATTAAAAGTAAATAGGGCACAAAACAATTCTGCTCAATTTCTGCTCTACTGCATCTCTTTTTCTGCACTTCTGCGTAACTTTCAAGTTAGCGCCGCTGCTTGTGGTCCACCAATCAAAAAGCTGTCTGTAAGCGCATGCCCAGTAGTTCATGTTTGTCAAGGCTTCTGTAACTGCCTCCACGGGACTGCAATCCTGCGGTGGGAACGTGACAAAAGTCCCTTGTTGCAGAAAAAGGTTCTGGTTCCAGGAAACAGTTCCAGCAGCGTGAAAGCACCTATTCAGTTGAGGTTGCGTTTCAGCTATTGTGACCATAGCAGTGTCACGTAACACACTGCACCCAGAACTTGCAGAGGTTACGTTCAGATGGCAGTTTTATAAAATGGTGCCATTTCATTCTAAAGACATTCTGGACGATTCCCCTTTAATTTGACACATTTTAGTAGTTAATGTATGTTTTCTCTCTACATCCTTTTTCCATCTTCTTTGGCTGTTGGCCACAAAACACTCGACAGTACAATGATCACGTGTTAAAAGTTCAGCAGTTTTGATTGTTTTCCATCCCTCTGATTGGCACTTTACTATTTTGTCTTTTTCTTCTCTCTGTAATAACCCTTTTGACCCATTTTAATAATAATTTCCTTAATAATTCTGCACAGGGATCCAGAGCATCTACAGTTTCCTGTTTTGCTCGAAACACAAAGTACCCAAAGCAAATACTGAGCATTGCTCTATTTTTGTACAGAACATTTTGAATTGTAGATGAATCTGGATGGAAGATAACATACATGCAAAAAATAAACACACTTGCCTAATAATTCTGCATGCACGCACACACACACACACTCACAAACCTATAACAGCTTTTGCACAGTACACACCATATCCAAATTCAGGTGAAATATTTCTCATGTGTGGCTAAAGATGCAGGCAACTATTACCAGATAACCGTCGGTCACTAAATGCGTGCTTTCTGGTGAAGGCCGCGATTTTTAAAACTAATAGTTTAAAATGATTTATCCAATAATTAACCAAAAGCCTGTTACATCAGGTTGAATCTTAAGCAACGTCCTCCTACGTGAAACCGTGCATTACCCTCTGCAGCCCCTCCTCGTTGACGTTGATCTTGCGGAACAGCCGTTTGAACACTTTACTTAGGATGAAGCCCAAGAATCGGATGTACCCCAACTGCAGGTTCTGGGACATTTCCTCCAATATCCCCGCAGCCTCCTCTCTGATCGCCTCCAGCGGCTCACCAGTGTCCTTAGAAACCTCAGCACCCAGAGAGAAGTGAGCATCAGACAGGATGCCAGAAACACAGAGACACAAACTCGGTATGATCGTGTGGACAGGTGCTCCTCCGCCTGACATTATCGTGACAATCGCTACCATCTGGTGGATGAATTACCTCCTGCATAATGTAATGCAGGTGCTGGGACTCCAGCACAGTCTTGTTAAGGGTGCTCACAGAGCAGGGCGGGGAGGCCCTGCTGGACACGCGGGTGAAGCTTTTCAAGGCATGACTCAGGTCACTCGACGTCCTCCTCTCCTCCAGGATGTCACGGAAGTCTTCCCTTCTCGACAACATCAAGTACTGAGCCTGAATACAGCACAAGCCTTGTGATGATTACATGGATCTACTCCACAGTTTTCCTACTGTGTTCCCTTAAATGCTCTAACTACTGTAATTAATGTTAACAGTATAAAAATATAGTTTGTATGGATTACTTTAGATTTTGAGGTTAGTAGACTCCACTAACAAAGTTAAACCCCACTGTAAATGTCAATGCAGTATTTGCACAGGTAAGCAAAAACCCAGGTCAACGTGATAACACCTCCATAAAATTTTTATACAACCCGCTCGTCCAGACAGACTCACACTCATATACATAAACATTACTGTACATCGGTTAACTACAAAGTAGATGCAATTAAATAATACTTATTATGCCGACGTAAAGACCGGGGAGAATCGTCAGGCAATGTCCAAGAATACATTTCCATGATTTGCATAACACCAGGCATTTCGGAACTGAAAACTTTCGATATAACCACATCTGATCGCCTGAATAAATCTTTACTCTTTTCTCATTTAACTGGAGATTTTGAAGACTGTCGGGATGGTTTAAATTAATCTTGGATTGCCAAACCGATCCATTATCGGGACAAATAATACTTAGACGCCATAAGGTTTCAAAATAAGGAACACAAATGACACTACAAGAACGTACAGGCCATTAACTGCAATAACAAAGACTCCGTTGTTTGAATTACGTGATTACATAACATTACAGTACTGTGTCGTTACATGCAACAAGTGGAAAGCGAAACAACATGTATAACTAATTACGAAAAGTGCGATCTGCCTGAAATGACGCAAAAACACATTCTGTAAAGTAAGGAAACTCAGTCCCGGCTGCAGTAACTCATACCGAGCTGTCCATCGTCCCTGTGGGCAGCCGCTCCCCCGCTCACATTGCGCTCCCAGCTCGCACCCCGCACCTTTTCTTTCCGCATGAAAAGCCGGAGACGGTCACAGCGCACAGCTAAGCGCAAGCAGCCAATGGGCGGTCGGTCTCGGGTAACTCCTCCCGGAACTGTCACGCCGCTGCCCGCATATCAAAAGTCCCAAGTGGCCCGGTTTTTAAATACAAGTTTACTTTTCCCTGAAGAATCGATCTCAGCCGGCGGTGCGTTTTTTCGCTGACGCTATTATCAGATGAAAATATTCGCGCCGGAGGTTATGTTTAGAACAAAAAAGCGCAGTGAACTTAAAAAACACATAAACTTAACCATTTACAGATGAGAATAACAATAAACATAGAAAATAATAATAAATAAGTTTATATAAAAGCCTAATTTACATTTGCAAAGTCTATCTTAGACAATACTGACGTTACGCAAAGGTTTCAGATTCTAATTAAAGCGATTTAGAATCTGACACAGGGTCTACGTCGTTAGGTCCGATCGCTCAGGGCTATCTATGGACCCGAGTAGTTTAGCTCAAACTACCGTGAAAAAAAAGTCAAGCCCCAGGTAAAGATTGACTTAGCTCCTGATCTTTTCAATAGCTAGAAACTCCGGTTTGAATAGCGATATCTTAACATTTATATAATATAAATTCAGTATGATCAGGAGAAGATTACAAAAAATAAGAATTAATTTAGAAATTAAGTACCAATTCCTCTTAGTGGTGCACGTGAACTGTCCTACAGAGGGTGCCAGACTAACGTGCACAGAGGTGATTACATCTCATATAGCACTCATTCAAATATTTGAACAAAAGTGCCCTCCCCACTCAACACATTAAAGGGGATCCCCATGAAATCATATCATACTGGGTCCCCAACCGAAACCAATCATATTATGTTCCAAATTTTTTAGGAACCCCTGAGCCTGCAGGGGCCCTTGGAATCATCCTAGCTTACACCACCACTACCCCCCCTCCCCTTTGGCTAGGAACAGATCATTCAACAAGTGACCATTTTAAAACTATGACAATTGTATATGTTTATTTATTCTTTCACCCCACCCCCTCCCCCAACAAAATCAAGAGAAACCGATGACCCTATATAAAATGATTTATCTGTGGTTCTTGGACATTATTTGTAATCGCTAAGGAAGTTGCTGAGGCATGCTTGGACAAGACATTAGAACCTTAACAGCTTTAGTATGATATACATTATAATTTCATATGTAGGTGGAACATGAAAACGCCCTAAACTGGTGTCTTTAAATTACTCTTAGAGTGCGGGAGTCTGTGCTCTGTGTGGGAGTCTGTGCTCTGTGCGGGAGTCTGTGCTCTGTGCGGGACTGACATACCCTAGGTGTCTCCCTGTGTCCTGAGTTTCCAACATTGTATGAAGTAATTGAATCTGGAAAATGGATGTATCACCTTAAGGGAGAAAAACCTTAACCGTGTGTTTAAATTTATCTGGAAAACATAGCATGTGGGGCCTGTATCACAAACCAGGATTTCTTGCTTATCCGGATAACTTGTCTGATTTAAGGTACCCCAGCTTAAATGGACTTCGCTCGCGTACATTTAGCACAGGCTACCTTAAATCCATTCCCCTGGAGTGCATGTCATTGTTAGCGGCACAGGTCCAATACGCAAATAAACTTCCTGTAAACCACTTCTCTCCTGAAGTACTTTATTGAAGTTAATATAAGAGCAGATATAAACAAACCCAAAGTTGGCACATCAATCTATAGTCATTTTGTACATCTGAAAGTCATAATAAATTCAATCGTATCAGTGACAGATGAGGCAATACAAAACTTATTGCAATACAGATCTTTCACAGAAAGAGTAACACAATTTCAACAAGATCCTCGCCCCAGGATTTGTGTGGTGAACAGTTAGCAGTTTGTGTGTTATTTCAGAGACTGAAATATATAAATGACCCAGGGAGTTTTAGTGCTTACGCTGGCTTAATATTGCATCTTACAATGACAATGTATTTGTGATTCTTGTGTACATTGCCAGGAGGCCAGGTACCATACCTATTTAAAATGTATCTGTTGTGATATAGTAAAAAAAAAAAATCAATGATACCATATAACACATGAAAGAAGAATCTGTTAATATGAAATGCTGTACACATTCAACCCTTATTTAATACATTAGATTGTTAATATTCAGTCTTTATACAATTGTATTAATACACAATATTTTTAAAAGCTGTACTCTCTTGCAGCAAAGCTCGAAAAATGTCATTAAATTATTTGTGTTTAGAAAGACATACATTACATTATGCATGTTTATGTTATTCTATGTGGGTGTAACCTTTGCAAAGTGAGGTTCATGAATGTTACATTTTCAGAATCTGTAATATTAAAGTAGCAGTTTTCGAAAAGTAGAATGGTCTTCTTGAATATATACAATATGAACTGTATAAATAAACTGTGTTTTTGTTTCATACATTTGAATTCGCATGTACACACTTTCCACTGCAGGAACGGAGACACCATGAATGCACATGTTGTCTTTGCTACATTAAAAAGTAACGCTTAAAAGTTTTATTTATCCATCCAGATCACATTTCACTCTTTCTGAGAATTTTTATGAATCCTATGCTTATGTGTCTTTTCTGCCAAACTTCAGCCTTATTACTTCCCTTCCAAGCTGAGCAAAGGCATTGCAGCAATCGACGCAGTCAAGGAGGTCCTTTTTGTCCATTTCACAACTTTTCCACCCTTTATATCACAAGTAAAAAAATAGAGTTAAAGCAGCTTCAAGTTAAACTATCATGTTTTACCATTTTGAAAGTCAAGAAATGAGTTTAAACACCTTCACAGTTGTAGCATCCTGACTCAGTTAAAATGACACAGGGTGATACTTAATTAAACAGGGTAAGGATACAGTGTTTACATCTATCTGAATCCACAGGGAGACAGAGACTCAGTGTGACATTTGCTGCTTAGGTGAGGCAGTCAGATGCGTACTGACCCCACAGGAAATGGGTGGCTTTCGCAAGTATAGATGCTCTCGGCTTTCGCTTGATTGTCAGAACCCAGTCACAATAGAGTCAACTACTATTACAGGTCATTTTGATTTACAAATTTAACCAAAACTTACTTGATTTTGTGGAATAATGAATGTCTGAAAACCATGTGAAACAGAGAAGCAAAATATCAGGCTGGTTTAAATACATCCCGAGGTTTCCTTGAATTACATTAATTAAGGGGCATTTTGTGTGCAAACTTTAATTGCTGAAAAACAATCATAGTAATCAGCAGCATGCACAAGAATACTGACCTCTGAACTGGATATTCATAATTCCCCTTGTTTTTTTTCCAAGACCAACTAATTAAATCTATGAATAGATATTTAAATATGAAAGATAATTGAACAAATGATGTATTTCACTGAAATGTTTGACACCAGTCTAGCCGCACGCTGACCTCACATGTAGTTGAAAGGCAATGTTTTTCCTGGTTTAAGCATTACATTTATAATGGTAAAATTGTACAGTTGTATTATTTAGCCTATGAAAAAACACCAACTATATACTGCTGTTTTTAGCTGAAATTCACAAGACCATTTGAGGTGAGGGAAAACATCACCATTAAAGGATAACGTGTAGGACAACAACTGAATTTTAACAACTGAAAAGTGCTTCTTTGTCTGTGTGAAAAGGTACATGTCCTTAGCTACAGTGCACAGCTGCTGTCTCTGAAAATCTGTGCATATCTGCGCTCTCTGCGCAGGACTGCATGAGTCTGTCTGCACGGATGGGGAGGGGTGTGGAGCAATTCAGCCGAGATCCAGGTGCTCGTCGTCGCTTTTCACCTCAGGGAGCTGCTCCCTCCAGTATGTGAACTGGCTGAAGGTGTCGGAGCATGGGAAGTCAGAGGAATCACCGCGCCTCATGGGGGGAAAGACGTGATCCACCACCTCGCCGAGCCGCACGTACCTGCGGCGAGGACGGGGGCACGGTGAATGGTTACCAGGGAGACCAGCCGCTGCCCACTAACATTCAGCTAGCAGGCACTTTCATATTCATAAACATACATAACTGCATATTCAGGTTAACTTTATAGTTCAAGGGTACAACAGCAGAGCCCCTCCTGGGCAATGAATCAGAAACGATCTGGTTACAAATATTTAACCACTATGCTAAAATTACTTAATTATAAAAACATTTACACATTTATCAATGTACATTTATCAGAGCGACTGGAGTACAACAGAGATGCCCCTTCTGGATATGAGCTAGCATGGCTGCCATTACAGCGCTGGGGCCACTGGACTGTTCCTATTCATGTTTTTGAATACTCCAGTAATACTCCAGTAATACTCCAGTAACACACACTTTGCAAGGTAACACTTACGAGGAAATATTGGTCTTGGCATGCTCTTGAACCAGCTCCCCTTTCGGATTCACAGTAAATATTCTGTTCAGGGGAACACCAACTTCTTTGTAGGAGTACACATCCTGTGAGAAAAAATAAATCCCTTTTGGCAACACTTTACTTGAGGAGACACAAATACCTAGTAGTAACACAGTTACTACTGGAGTACAAATCATGAACAAATATAGTTGCTACTTAAAATGAAAGATATGACACTAATGTGTGTTTGTTCATTAATGGTGAACAAATATGAGATCAGTATTTCGCTTATGTTATTTATTTGTTCCTTCAGTGGTTCACTAAAATGTACACAATTAACAGATATAATAAGTACTTGGGATAAATGATGCATCACAAATCATTAACAATGAACAAACACAAGATTTTATATGATTCATTATCCCTTCCTACAGTATTTCCTTCAGTGGTTCATAAAGATTTACAGAATAAACATATATAGTACCGGATATAGTACTTGCTTCAGAAAAGACGTGACAATTCATTAATGCTGAACAAACATGAGATCAGTTTGTAACTAACACTTAATTTGTGGTTAATTAATATATAAGTAATGGCATAAAACTACATTATCAGTGTCCCCTCAAGTAAAGTGTTGCCTCACTCTTTACCCATATAATCCAAATCCAAATAATTTTATCCATAATGTAAAATATCGGGTGGTTCAAAATAGCTGAGGCAGGTAAGACTTACTGTAGGTCTGTTTCCGAAAGCTGCATAAAATGGCTCCGTGTTTGGATGGAACAACTGTTTTATATCTGTCAAACATTCGATTTTAAACTTCTCCGGCTTCTTTTCAATCACTTCCCTGAAACGATGGAACCAAAGAAAAAACAGGCATTTAAGGTGAGACACACCTTTATATTGGCAACAGAGACAGCCAGTCAGCCAGCCAGCGAGACACACAGAGATGGACAGAAAAACAAAGACAGGCAGTGAGACACACAGAGAGATGGACAGAAAAACAAAGACAGCAAGACAGACAGATAGAGAGGAAGGCAGAAATACAAAGACAGACACAGACAAAGACAGAGACACCGACAGACAGATTTTGATCCCAAGTGGGAAGCTCGAAAAAAAAGAAATACGAATTCTCAAGAGCAGGTGGGTGGGGTGGGGGGTGTTCTCTGAATAAACTGATATAAATCTGTGTGGGAGGGTGATGGCGGTCAGCTGCCCGTCTCACCTGTGCAGGGCAGAGAAAAGGCTGCTGGGACTGAGCAGGACTGGGCCCATGGGCAGCATGGTGCCCCTCTCATTGACCCAGTGCAGGTATCCCCGGGTCATGCCGGCCATGCCGATGGCACGAGCCGAGCAGTACAGAAACTTGTAGCCATTCCTGTATGACAGGGAAGAGACTAGTCAGTCAGTCAGACAGTCAGTCAGACAATCAGTCAGACAGTCAGGCAGACAGTCAGTCAGTCAGACAGTCAGTCAGTCAGACAGACAGACAGTCAGTCAGTCAGACAGACAGTTTCAATTACTGCACTGGTGTAGAAGTCTGGGAATTTCAGCTACCAGGACTTCATAATTCCCTGCATGGCAGTAGCCGTCCCATTGAAAACAGAGCATGGTAACAGGTATATTGAACTTTCAGCTTTATGGAAAGAACATGAGCCACCAACAAAATGCAGAGTGATTAAAGGCTGGCGATCCCATGTGTCACAGAGGACTTACTGGCTGACTTTATGGTACAGGTGCGCGATGCCCTGGTGGGTCCAGTCTTTGCCCAGCGTCGGCAGAATATGGCCCAGGGTGTCGGACCTGCAGGGGCATGGAGAGGGCATGCATCAGATGGCGTTCTCTAGAGGACAACTGTTTCATGTCACCCTGGCATTAGCAGCAATTGAAATCTGAATATGTCAAACTTGGATAAAAAGTATTTTATAGAATGGTTTTTATACATGCATATGAAGTACTGTGCAAAGGTCGAAGATGTTTATAAGATCTTCATGTTGGAATTAGACCAGGGGTGTTTCTAGCTATTGAAAAGATCAGGGGCTAAGTCAAGTTTACCTTGGGCATGACTTTTTTTTGAAGGAAGATTGGCATTTGGGGCTAAAATACTCAGGTCTAGGCTTAAAATACTCGGGTCTAAGCCTCGACTGATGGGACCTAACGACACCCATGAGTTAAATTATGATATTGTCTGTGAAAGTGTGTCAGCAGAGCCATTTCAAAACCTCTCCTAAGGTCATCCCTGTATTTGCAGCCAATATGCCAGTGTTTCCCAATCTGGTCCTCAGGGACCCAAAGACAGTCCATGTTTTTGCTCCCTCTCAGTTCCCTGCTAGACAATCCATGTTTTTGCTCCCTCTCAGTTCCCTGCTAGACAGTCCATGTTTTTGCTCCCTCTCAGTTCCCTGCTACAGTCCATGTTTTTGCTCCCTCTCAGTTCCCTGCTAGACAGTCCACATTTTTGCTTGAAAAACTGGACTGTCTGCGAGTCCCTGATGACCAGACGTTGCAACACAATGTATTTGTTGATTCGACTGACAGCATACTAAGAATAAGCACATTTAAGTAACCGCTGTCTGAGGTGAGCATCCCTGCACACCTGGTAATGGTGCCATCGATGTCAGAGATGATGATTTTGTCATCCCAGCTCCACAGGTAGATGGTGCCCTCACAGCGGCAGGTGCCCTGGTACTGAGTGGTGACACTGAACACCACGTCGTTTGGTCCGTCCTTCAGCTGCAGGCTGACCTGCGGGACGAAGCGGGCAGGGTCATCCTGTGCCATCACAGAATTCCTGCCCTACAGCAATGGCCAATGAGGCGATCACACTCACCAGCTGCTCAGATGTGAGGCGGAGGGTCTTCTTATAGGACACGCCCCCTGGGGTTAGCAGAGGCTCTGGCTGGATGGAGACAGGGGTGTGCTTGGGTGTTCTCTGTTCTTCATCACTGGATGACGACTCATCCTTCAGCCTGTGACAGCAGCACAAAGACCCAATCAAAGACAGCCACCAAGTACAAGCCCAATCAGAGGCCAGTTGTGAGATCCATTTGATCTTTATATGCTTGAATAAATCACCTGTTTACAGAGGAAATATTTCCTGGGTTAATTTCACTGCTGCCTCCCTCTTCTGCGGCAGAATCCTGTCCAAAAAGATCCCAATTTTGACCAGTCAGATGTTTTGCTAGGACAAACAACATTTACCATAATCCTCACATCAGAATATTCAAATAACTTTGGGTATGTTGCCATGGATACACATAGGCCTATACATAATTATGGCACAAGATCAGAATGCTGACAACCAGATTCAAGAACAGTTTCTTCCCCAAACTTTCCGCATCACCAACAGTCTGGAACCTTGAGTACCACTTAACTCTTGCTTAATGTGAATTGCAGTGTTAGCTATTTCACATCTAATGTCAGGTAATTATTTATTTGCATACTATTAGCTGTTCTGTGTGTTGGATCTGGCTGAACTAGTAAGCCTTCCAATAGACTTTTTGTACACAGTCAACAAAATATCTTGAATGCTGATTCTCGGGTTGAGCTCTCTGGAGTCAGATCCCTTTAAAAGTTAAAGACATTGCTTTAGTACCTACCGGCTTAATGCTGCTGTTCCTCCCGCGCCACGAGAACCACCAGCGACTTCCCTTCCTGGGCATCTTCTCCTTCATGATGTTCTCCACCGTGGCCTGAAGCAAACGCACAGGCTGAACGACTCGACGACTCGAATAAATAAATAAATAAATAAATAAACAAATAAATAAACAAATGACTTGATGGGGGAGGGGGGGACCAAGTCGAGATGGAAATGATGGTGGCCGAAGCCCGACAGGAATGTGGACACAAGAGGGATCATCACGTACAGGGTTGGACCAAAGCACGGTGCACATACAGTAGAAGCAGAACTCGAGGGTTGAGTACACAAAACTGAGACAAGAATGCTTGACACATGAGATTAAAAATAAACAACACAAAGGAAATAGGAGACATTTGGAGGAGAAAACAGGGAAAGAAACGGGATTAATCAAATTCTCAAACTTACTCCAGCTCTAAGAAGATAGCGAAAAGGAGTATGATAAAACATGCAACTTTTTGTAATAAAAAAAAATACAAACGATAACTGGAAGTAGACTAATTTAACGAAGAAAGTCATTAACATGCCTCTAATGCCTCTAATACTTGACTTAAGATGACTTTGCACAGATCAGAAGACCAGGACGGACTTTGGCATGTGATGAGATGCCTTTATCCAAAGAACCTTGCATAGTGTTCCCCTGCCTCCTGTCCTATGCTGGCTTGGAGAGGCTCCAGGTCCCGTGACCTGGTACTACATAAGGGGTCGGGTGGATTAAGGACTGGAAAAAGGACTGTAGTGTGGTTACTCAATGGTGTAATGAGCTACTTGTTCACAACCAGTCAACAGGGTCTCTCTCAACCTCCAAGAAACAACTCAAGAAGTGTTTTTTTCTAGGAACATATCAACTAGCTCAGCCAACTACAAAGCTGCACTGTATCCATCAGCCATGTTATGGTCTCTTGGAAACACTGGGTACTTGTCTAGCAGGAATTGAGTTGAGTCCTTGTGGTGTTTTTGATTTGAATAGCTCTTGTGATGTTAGGTTCTTACAATATTTTAATGTATTTTCTGGCTCTTGCTCCAATGCTAACTAACAATTGTTACTGGTGTCCCTGGAAGCTCAGATATTTAGACATTAACATGGGGAATGGAGGCATGATTTTTTGAGGGTTTGTAGTGTTTTGCTGTGATGTGTATGGGTATGTGTATGAGTATGGGTATGTGTATGAGTATGGGTATGTGTATGAGTATGCCTATTGGTGCCTCTAATGCTGTGATGTGTATGGGTATATATCGATCTAACGAGGACAATTAGGAAATGTTTATATGGTCTATGTGACAGTTCACAGTCAGCATGGGTTCCACAAACATGCCAAGAACATTGATGAAGGCAATGCTAATGCAGGTCAATGGTCAGAATGTGCTGGGTTATTGTGAATCTGACAAAAAATGATATTTTCCTTCTTATAAAATTTCAAATCCTTTAGATACAAACAGTAATATTAAGTAGTGAAACCAAGCAGTGGAATAAAACTATGCAAATACCTGGTCAGACATACCATGACCACAGCAAGTGGCTGGTTTTAACCAGATGAAAACACAAATGACAAAAGCAGGTTTTGTTAATGAGTCACATGGCAGAGCTTGTTCTGTAGTGTCATAACAACTGAGGAGAGAATAGCGGCTACCAATGGTATGAAGCACGCAATGCCTCAGCTATGATGTGTCTCAGAAAAGTAAAAAAAATGAGACTAAAAAAATTGTAGGCAATCATTAGACAGTCGAGGCTTATGGAGAAAAAAACAAAAAGAAAATCAATGCCAGTGATCTGCTGTCTAGAGAGGCTCTGGCTGCTGCTTCTTCTGTGACGTCATTTCCAGATCATCCAATCACTGTGCGTATTTTGCTCCACACCCCCACCCCCTGGACTCAACATACTGTACACATTGTCCCCTGTGGAATTTCCTAGTAACAGCCGCTTTCCAAGAAAGACAAACTTCTGAACTTTATTGCAAATGCCCATCAGCCTTATGTCAAGTTATGAAAAATTTGCTTAACACAATGTGGAACGTTTCCTTAATCAGCTACCAGTGGTTACCTAAAAGTAATCTGGTGTAAAGTGAGGCATTGCAGTATCTGTGGAGTGGTAGGATGTAATATTTGTGGTATGAGGCACCACGAGGGGAGCACACAGAGCGATGCAGTGGATTTGGGCCAGTTTCTACATGTTCGCACTGCTGTACCTTAGGCAGAGGCTTCTGGAATGCCTGCATCGCTAACATCAGAGGTGCAGCAGTAGTCCAGTTGTAGTACCTGCAGGGTTCCAGAAAGGCTGTTAGCAAGTTTCATTCTGTGAGTTGTAACCATATGCTCAGAGGGCTGAATGATGAATGGCTGCATTGGGGAACAGGGCGCTTGAATGCAACCCAAGTCACCACCATTAATCCAAACAAATGCTCTTTGTACTTAACCTCAGATCCAAATTAGCATGAATGTAACAGAATCAATGAGATTTTATGTAAAACAAACAAGAAAAACAAACTTGCCCTAAGAACTTAACAAGCCGCTGACAGCTTGTTCTCCAGCCTGCATTTGTGACTCGATAAGCACAGGCAAACCCCATTGTGCAAGTGTAACATTTACACAATCAGGCATTAATAATCTTCAAATCTTACTTGGTTCCGATCTTCACCACCAAGTTTGGGTCATCGATGATGGATGGATTTTCGGCAAACTGCTGGTATGTTATTGCTTTTTCCTGAAATTGTTCTAGAAGCACCAAAAAACAAAAGCCTTCCTTCAACGACTGCTACAAATGACTTTACACCATTGTTAAAAAAATCTTTTAAATGGCAGCAATCCTCAGTCCACTGCTAAGTCCCACACACCCACCCAGTGCCCATTTAGTTCACCTGTATGCCTGAGCCAGGAGTTACAGCTATTTATAACTGGCTAATAAGTAAAATCGGGTGTGTCAGCAGTGGAAGAGAACACAGACCTACATGTGCTGAGAACAGTAATTTTGTACACATCATTAGCTGTATATTACGCTAACATTTTTAAGACCTGAAACTGACAAGAGTATGAACGCAAAGGCAAACCTACCTTTTGTGATTTCTTTGTTGTCAGTGAGACCCCCACACAGGGAGATGGCGATAGTAGGCAGGTCGCCTATTTGATCAGAGTAGCTGTCGACGCCACTGTCCATTCCAGAGCTGCTGACGGACTGCGGGGACATGCTGGCACCGTGCACCAGGCTTTCCGCGGTTCCCATCGCAGCGCCAGCTCCTTCACTGTAAACCGAAGCAGGCCTTATCGTCCTTTGTGCCAAACGTAGCTAAGCCTGTGATTTTCCTCATGGTTCTTTGGCGTAATCTACTGCTGCAGAGTAAGCAGAACACTAACACATTACCTTTTAGGGAAGTAAAGGGCAGCCACCTCAGGGTCCATCTCTGTAAGGTCATCCAGATAAACACCATCGGATCCAAGATGACGACTCCTCTTATCTGTGGATGAGGGGGGTAAAAAAATCATTAAAATTGCTTTGAACTTAAATTTTAGAAAATAAATAAATAAATAAATAAAAGATAAACAATGCAGTAACACTTTGTGTTAATTTAGCCATAAGAAATATTAAATGATCAGCAGCGCCTTCTAGTGGAGCGCCAGGGCAGTGCACCTTATGCTGAGGGCTCAGGTTTAAACAGGCAAACTGACTCATGTTCTGTTGGGTGGGTTGATATCTAAACTGTTGGGTGGGTGGATACTGAATAAGTAGCTCTCCCCCAGAAGTGAAGCCCATATAGGATGAAGGAGTACACACACTGGATATTGAGGGGAAAACCTAAGAGATCCAGGCTGGATAAAACAATACAGGAAAAAGAACTCCGAGCCCTGCGTATACATGTGACCTGCACTGTTACCTTTTTTCTTGGATGGGGAGTCTGTCTTGCCGAGCAGACGGGACCCTGGGCTGTGTCTCTCCTCCTCCACCTCTAACAGATGAGCGCCAGGCTCCATCCTCACCGGCATCGCCGCCTCGGCGTCCATGGGCTCCGGGATAAACAAGCCCAGCGGTGGGGGGCAGTCCTCCTGCTGCTGGGGGGGGCAGTCCCCTGATATCACCCTGAAGTGGGTGCTCTCTGACACGGGGACCGACACGGGAGTCTTCAGAGGTGACTCTGGTTTTTCTGAGAAGCGGCTTGGCTGGCAGATGGGAGGCGGGAAATGAGTCCCTGTTTTCTTTTACTATCTATTATTTTACTAGCTTCTAATGAACTTCTCTGCTTCAAGTGTGAGTAAAAATCATCCATCCATCCACCCTGCACACAATGCTAGTACCAGTAGTAACAATAAGTAACAATAAGAATTCTACTAATAAAGTTGGCAATTAAAATAGAGTCTTCAGCTCATTCTGCTAGCCAGCTGTATTTCATGCCTGTGCTGCACACAATGGATGCATTCCCTGGAAGGTCTGGTCTTACACGATCATACTGCTGCTACCTTGGCAGCCTGTGGAAGTTCTCCCCAAGCCCACAGCATCTCGGGCTTGGCCTGCTTCTCCTTGTCCGACGGTTTGGTGACCAGCTCCGAGTCGCTCTTCGGCGTGGAAGGCCGGGAGGAGTCGGGGCTATGGGAGAGAGGCGGGCGGCCACATCAGGGGGTTCCCTGTATGTTTCAGTTTCCCAGAATGCACTTTAAAATCCAGCATCTCTATTTGTCTAAAGCCCGCTGACTGGTTTAGAGGAGCTGGGTGAATAATATCTGAAGCTCTCCATGGCGTGTGAGAGGTATGTCTGTGTGGTTATGCTCGGGGCACGGAAAACAGAGGTGGTGCAAAAACAAATCAGCTGCCTTCAAGAAAGTTCTGTCTTTCTCAATGGATAACCAGTACTAGCTGGTCTGGTATCTTTAAATCAAGGTTTCACAGATGGCCGGCTGAGCGACGGTGGGGCAGCTGTTTTGAAGCCGCTAGTGTCAGATGGTGGGGGTTAGTACTGCTAGTGACCAAGGGGGTGGAGGTGGTGGTGCAGGTGAGGCTACAGATGGTGAGAACGTGCATAATAGTCAATCCCATATCTGTGTGTAGCTGGGAAGTAAGAGATCTGTGTGTGTGTGTGGGGGGGGGGGGGCGGACGACAAATCTCCAACCACAGTGGCCACATCAGAGAACAGAAGTCACTTCTGCTTCACAGGGTCATTTCTCAGACATTATTACATGTTGCCTGTGTTGAAACCAACTGATATATGCAACGAGGTTCAATCTAGAGGACATAAATGCAATAAGACCCTCCCAAGGTCAAAAGTTTGTAATGCTAGACAGACAATCAAGATTTAATTGGAATGCGTTTCTGTATGATACTGTCGGTAAAGAAGGTGGCCGTTTTCTTTGCTGATTTCACAATCGCAAACTAGCTCTGTCAAAAAAGGCTCCGTGCAATGCATTGTGGGAAACACATAATACTCTTAGTCTTCCATTAGTCTTCCATTTAAAAAGAGAATTGCCCAAGTCAGTTAATCTATAAAAACTAAAACTAAATAATAATAAAAACTAAAACAAAAAAATAAGAAGAAATATCAAATATGCGGCATTTGTAGAAAAAGAAACACAAAAACAGTTTTGAAAACCTACATAGGAAAATGAATCTGTCTTACAATCAAAGACTGAAACTAAAACATAAATAAAATTGTGTCTGTCATTATATCACTTTATCCGACACTTCATTGGGGGGCAGGGGGTGCGAATACAGGCCCCTTCCATGTGGATTACCTGTGCAGCGGTGACCACTCCCCATCAGAACGTGCATAAATGGCATCCTGCTTGAACAAACTGCTGGAGGGGCTTCCACTGGCTCCCTCCTCTGTGAAGGCTTCGCGTGAAGAATTCCTGGGATAATACACAAAACAAAACAAAACAAAACAAAACAAAACAAAACAAAACAAAACAAAACAATGTTAGCAACTCCCACAGCACTGGTGCTCAAGGACAGCAAGGAACAAAAGAACATGCAGCCTACTTCAGTCTCTGAGAAGATGTGTCACTGAGCAGACGAAAGATGGCACCGGGCAAGACAAAACCGTTCCCTCCTCTTCGAGAGCATGGCATTTTAAAGGGACACAATTCAATTACAGGCCTTTCATTTTTAAAGGGTATCTGAGCTTATGGCCTCGTTCTGGAAGAGCTTTGCGATGGCTTCTTCTGTTATCGAATGTATCCTTATCCGAAATTCTGTGGCTGGTTAACTTGGCCAAGTTCTAAAAAACACATCGTTTGGGTTCCACTTCTGTAGCTCTTTCAGTAGGCCTTGTTCAATCAAAACATGCTGCTGTGTTACGCAACAGCGAGAGGCGAGGGAAGGAAAACAGTGATGAGGCTGTGGGTTTGCACAGCAGAGCAGGCTGCTCTCGTTCCGTCCTTTTTCTGAGAAAGCTATCGCCGAATCTCCATGCCAGAAGCCTCCCTCTCCCTGAAGACTGCGCTGGATGCTCTTTCCAATGGGGCTGGCAGGGGGCCAGACACGACCCCCCCTTCCTCAGCACAAAGGACCTCCCGTGTCTGTACTTCACTATTCCAAGCCATGTTTGCAGGACTTTGGGGGAAAATAGCAGTAAAGCACTCTGCCAATCAGGAGATCGGATAACTGGCAGGAAGCCAATGCTGAACTAATGACATCAAGCCTTTTTTTTGGCCATCAGGGGGTGATGTGACCCGTGTGCCTTAATATGAACTTAGGACGGATGGGAGACACGTGTGGGACAAGCAATATATCATTACCTATCAATATTCTTAGCCACTTTGGAGTGTTCCAGCGAAATTCCCGTGCGTCAAACTCAGTAAAAACCTCTACATTAAAAGGGAAGTGGACAGTTTTGAAAACATGAGATGAATGTGCTTCTGAATTATAATAATCATAAAAAAAATCTAATGCAGCCATTTCGTCAGCATGCGCTCAAAGTGAAGACTAATAGCACATGATCAGCCCAGGAACACAGCTGCCCAGGTACGGTTGGTAATGACACGATCTCGGTGCTCATTGCACCCCCACGGCGAGGTTGACTCATGAACCCATGTGCCCCCCACGGCCCGCCCCTCATGCGCTCCACTTCCAGGCTTTGCATGGCTCCCCCCCCACAAAGGACATGCAGAAATTTTCCCTGGAATAGGTCTGTTAATCCATTTATCTGCTCTTGCCACTTGAAGACACAGAGGGTGAATCTCAGTATGCATACCTGACTGTTCTCAGTATGCATACTTGACTGCAGTTGTGTTCTCATGTACCCATTTTACATCATCTTCCACTGTCGAATACTATTATTAGTCGAAGACAAGTAACACAACAACACCAATACTAATAACACAAGTACAGAGGATGGTAAAAATCCCTGGATGTTGGTCTTGCTCTGGCCCAAATATCAATGATACATCAGTTGCATCCTTGCCGACTGAGACCAATCCCATGATTGATTGTGACCCAAGTTCATTCTTGGAAGGCAAGTTAGCAAGACCGGTCCTGCCAAGACCACAAGTATGATCTTTGTGTTTTTGGTATTGAGAACCACACAGAGTCTCCTATAGGTGCAGAATGTGTCCAGACAGACGCGTCACCCTGTCGCCCCGTGGATCCCGCTGTGTCCTCCCAGCCCCGAGGCCCTCGCCTGCCCACCTGCTGCCGTCCATCTCCTTTTCCTCGTCGGAGCTCATTTCGATGGAGAACATGTCTTCATCCTCCGAGGACTTGGCGCTGTCTTCCCGCTTTAGGCTGCCCACCTTTGACTTCCTCCGCCGCTTCCTCCTCTTCTTCTCGCCGGCAGACTGCAGGGGCCCCAGGGCCTGGATTGGGGGCCCGGCCGCTGGGTCGGAATGACGGGCCAGGCCCTTGCCCAGCTGCGCGCCCATCAGCGCTGCACCATCTGACAGGATGGGGGAGGTGGCCAGGTATGCAGGCACGATTTCCTGTGGCGACAGCACAGAAATATCATCAGCAAATGTAAACCATTTATCAGACAACCTTCCAAAAAAGCCCCAGAAGCAGCAGCTAGCCTAGCTTCCCAATTAAAGTCCATATTGCTATATTTAGCTCATCCCTCCACCTGAATTCTGCAGTTTTATATTTAGCTTAGCTTTCCTACTGAAATCCATATCATGCTTAGCATAGCTTTCCAGCTCGAGTTTGCATTATTATACCTACAATCGCTTCCCAAGTGACACCTGAATCATTATAGTTAGCATGGCTTTGCAAAACCGCATAACTGCAACAGCAACCCCAAACAGGGATGCAATGCTGCAGCAGGACATGCACCAAATGGGACAGGTAACTGAACCACAGAGGAAGGAAGAGGGTTAGGGTTAGGGTTAGGGTTAGGGTTAGGGTTAGGAGATCGAGGCTCTGGGGAGGAACAGCAGCAGGGGGAAACAAACAAGGAGGAAAAGTAACAAAAATCATAGATCAGAAACGGCTTCACTTGGGGTCAGATATCAGGATTTCCTGGGGTGAGAGAAAACAAAGTGGGAATAAGGCATTGGTGAGTGCGTGACTGAGTAAGTAAGTGCGTGAGTACATGAGTAAGTGATAAATTAACTGAGAAAGGGAGTAACCAAATGAGTAAGTGTGTGAGTGAGTGAGTAAGTAGACTCTTCACGTGACAGTTCATTCACAACTTCATAAAAGAAGTGGTTAAAACATGACCCCATATGATGTATGCTTATACGCCAAAACACAATATTTGGGAAAAAAACAGTAAAATTCATTTACTGTAATGCACTGTTATTGTACTGATTTGTTACTGGGTTGTTCATATTCACACAAATTTTTTAAACCTTTCTCTGACATGCTGCTCTCAGTTGGCATTCTCTGTGCCTGGATTTCATTACTCAGATACCCGATAAGAGGATCAATATATAATGTTTGTTTAGGTGGGAACTCAAATACAGAGTCTGGTTGTATACAAACAGCAAAGTATTCAGGCAAAGTGAGAAGATCTCAGACTAATCAAATCAAACCATCCCACTTATTCTCTTTACCACAGAGACTTTTTAGTTCTGTTCAATTGACAGAAAAGGTGAAACAGACTTTACAGAATCAGAAATTCACAGACCAGAGAAAATGAGCTTTTCTTTCCCAATGAGAGCGCTTTTTCCTGCACAGAAAGAAAACAGAATCTCCCTTTGGACCGTGGTCTCACAGGGATGGAAGAGGATCACAAAAAAATCCGAAAAATGCTTTCAAAAGCCTGACTGTCTGACAGCCGTAAGTAAATCGTGCCTATTATTATAGTGGTTAATACAACTCATTCTGACACCTAAAACAAAACAGGCAGAATAGCATAATATCCATTAAACCTGATCTGTAGCTCATTAAACTGAAGGGATAGGGAACACTGCCTTTCACTGCATCTTTATAGGCTTTCCTTATGATGCAATATTCACAGTTCTCCATTTCAGTACAGACTTCTGCCCTACTTGTGCCTGCAGGCAAGTCACATGGAAAGTAATACAGGCCCCTTGCTCAGCGTGTATATGTGTGTGGTGTGTGTGGGAGGGGGGGGGGCATTAGTGTCATCACACACTCATCACCGGGCCCTAGAATGTGCCGGGCTCCCCCTCCCCATATGAAATCTCCCTGTGGAGCATGCCCTTCTTTTAAAGGCGTGTTTTCCCCTTCGACGCAGCAAAGCTCTCTCTGCTTTCACTGCCAATAGGACTGCTGCGCGTTCTGGCAGTTTCAGGTTCACACAGCTCAGCAAAAGAGGTTAAATTAATCTCGCTCTCCATACCACCTCTTAATCACAATCAGACCGCTCGCGAAATGTAAGTTCTGTTCTGTTGGGCTGACATATTCAACATTATTTCCCATACAGCCACATTTTGACAGTGTTTTCCTCAAAAGAAAGCCAAACAGGGCAGGGTAGGGTCAGAGGTCACCGTAATGCCCAAGAGGCCACTTGATCCAAGCCCAGCTTGTGATCCACCTCCCACTAAACTTGTTCTGTGATCCCTTAGTTGGACTCGTGTACATATTGTGCATTTACTTATATCTGCTTTATAGCAGATGATTTAATTCAAAGCCAATTATAATTGAGAGCAGGGTCTGCCAGTCCCTGGAGCAACAGGGGTTATGGGCCTTGCTCAAGGGCCCAATGGTGAAATAACCATGTCCATCACAGGATTTGAACCAATGCCCTGCTGTTCACAGGCACAGAATTTTTTAACCAATTCCCTGATGGTCACAGGCACAGAATTCTAACCCACAATGCCAATCACCTGTCATCCTGTATCCTGAATGCTCATATTTTTCTTTACCTGAATAGCTCTCATTAGGTTCTTTCTGTTTGTAATGCACTGTACTGTTCCTGCTTTACTGCTGTCTTGAATTGTTGCTGGTCAATCACTGAAAGCTCAGCCAAGCTGCACTTATGCCTAGGTGACCCCTTGACTGCTGTATACTTGCGATTTATTGTCAGCCTCACTTATATGTCGCTTTGAGCAAAAGTATCTGCTGCATGAATAAATGTAATGTAATGAGTGTATGTGACGCTGTCCTGATGCCACAATGTTAACATCTGCTCTACATGTCAGTATAACATAGGAGGAGGCTTCAGGATGCCTATGGGGGAAGGGATACCCTAGAAGGAATTGGTGCCCTCGTCTCTTAAGCGAGTTTCACACTCGAGAAAGTTAAACCCTAGCAACAGAAGACGCTGACTCTCTCCAGTCTCCACCTCCCCTTTAAGCGTGACCGTTTCCATGGTGCACCAAAAAGAGCGCTGGATTGCCATCCCTGTCTCTGTCCCTGACACAGAGGCTGGAATCGGAGTCAGGACATGTTACCAGTAAACAGGACTCGTGTTTCTGGACACCTGCTGCCTCTGGTATGACTTATGTCCCATTGCCAAAGGGCAAGAACGCAGCGACCATGCAGGGATCATCCAGGAATTGTGCAGGGGCCAAACAGGGGTGACAAGCCATTCATACAGCACTACCTGATCATTCTCCGTCTCCTTCACAAAGAAGGCCTCCCCATTTTCCCCCAGTTTCATGTGCAAGTCCACTGGCTCCCCGTTGATCTCTATATCCACCTGTTCAGGAGACAAAACCAAAGGTGATGATTAACCTTCTGCATACGAAACTATTTTAAGACCAAGCAGGACGTGTCAGTCAACGGCAAACTGCTGCCACTTGCTGTCAGGCGACTCACCAATTTCTCACGCGACCGGAGTACGCCCATCTTCCCGAAGCGAACGTGGAACGGGGAGCACTGGAGCGTCCCGTCCGGCTGGCGCACCACGATGACGTCGATGCAGCCCGACAGGGTTGCAGGGTTCAGGCCTCGGTACAGCTCCTTCACCTGCACGAAGACCTGCCCCGCCAGCTGGCCCACATAATTCATGGTCTGGCTCTGGAAGAGAGGCCAGCAGACAGCTCAGTGGCAGTCTTCACCACACTTAATGTCAAAAGTCAACAAATCTTTCCTGTCATCTCAGCTCCATAACGCATGCATCATACATTGAGATGAAATGCCATTCCTCATTGGTCAAAAAGCTGAATAAATAGAAATATAACATAAATATGACTTATTAAGACATAAAATCTATGCATGGATATTAGACAAAAAAAAATACAGTTAACCCCCTTGGCAAATGGCCAATGGAACAGAATCAGATGGGAGGAATGGGCTTTCTTATCCAGGAATGGACAAACTTAAAATATATTTACTTTAGATACGCAGACAGACCAAAGTTAGACTTTCATTATTTATCAGAAAACAGTTAATTGTTTATAAGAGGTTTATGACGCAGATGATGGTAGCATTTAGCTACAGGGATGCATAATCTTCTTAGTCTACTTCAAATTTGTCATCCGTAATAAACACTGACTTTGCATCCGATTACCATTACAAGGGATTAAACATTTCACACGATTAACTGCTAGTATAACCTATGTTATCTGGCATTCAGTGTCAAAAATAGTGGTTGTAAATATTTAAGAACTACTGTCCACATTAATAGGCTTATAAACATTACCTACTGCACATGAATTCCTTTATGCGGGCCAATAGGTGAAATGCATATCTGTTGTTCAAGCCAAGAGTTCTGTTCTGGTACTCTAAAGGCACTTTTCCACTGGCACCAAAGCCGCAAACGGGAGGTTTTCCATTGTAAAGCATGCCAGCTGTACCTGAGCTGTATCCGCACTGACATGGGTCTAGCAGGACCAAAAGCGTGACCAAGTCGAGCTGATTGTCACCAACATCTGATTAGTTGAAATGCACTGAGATATCGGAGTTCTGCACATGGAGTTTCTGAAGGTTCCTGTATGCTAATGGAAAAGTACCACAATACTTAATTTGTTCACCTCTATTAGCTGTTTCAAGCGAGATGTTGTATGGTGTTGACGGTTTCAGCCGCCCCTTTATTCTCCACACTCCTTGATCACTTTCTTTCACAGAACCATAATCATATTTTTATTTCAGTATCAGCATTTCAGGTTTTATGATAAAATACATAATACTACATAAAATTTGATTTGCGGATCAATTTCACTTGCATCAATGTGACACCTGTCGGCTTCCTACTGGATGTTGGTGGAAATAAAGATTAAACAATACAACAGGTTCCTGAAAACAGGTTGTAAGGAACGAGGTATCCGTAACTACAATATTCGACCCCTGACCTCTGCCCTACTAGTGGTATGCCTTCGGAGAATAGTCATCCTGCGGCTTCCATGGCCCAGACCTTTCTGGAAACTGAGATAGTTGATCCTCTGGTAAAAGCTAACCGGTAACCAGACACCTTCGGGGCAAATGAGACATTAGCCCAGTCAAATTACACAACTGAGTGATATCGGCCCTCTTTTTCAATTCAGTCTAGAGTTGGTTAAAGAAAAAGCACCAATCCTGAACTAGTCCTATCAAGAGATATGTACATAACATGCTCAAACAGTTTATAACCAAAACATGCAATTTTACATAATATAAATAATATATCCACTAAAGTGGATATTAGAACTTTTTGAAAAAGGACTATTTGAAAAAGCGTGTCTCTGGTCACAGGGAGGTGGATTAGGGAGGACACCCCACCCCCAGGGCCAATTGGGGGGGGGTCACTGTAGCAGTGAAATACAGATTTTCAGAACATTGCAAGCACATCATTGCCTGAGGCTCACAGAACTTTGTGGAAAGGTGGGATGCTTGTGGTCATATTTAAAAAGGTCTAGAGTTCCAATTATGTTGTTTAATAGTCCCAAAAAATAGAACCAAGTAAAACATCCCTACAACTCAAATTAAGAGAGATCAGGGATTTTAAAAGATTAAGGTTTTAGTGTGTCATGCTACGCTGGCTGAAATTATGTGTGAACCTAATACTCTGCTACTAATAATAATCTATAATATACCTCTCATTGCTGGCCAACACCTATATATTCGTTAAAAAGAATAATTTAAGTAATGTTCAAGCAAAAACTACTTTTGGTTTTATTAAAGGCGACAGGTAATCCGCAGTGTGGGTCTATTCAAATCTGGGCCGTGACGTGTTTTGAAATATTTGCATGAATATGAGGACAGGCATTTTCTCAACAAATACCTTCAAGCCAAAGGTAAAGCACAAATACGCTGGTAAATAACCTAAAAATACAAAGTTACATGCATTTTACTACAAGCAAAATCATTGTCGTTTAAATAAACTTAGATAAGGCGCAGTGTGTTGCCTATTTTTTGCACTTTAATCTCAAACATCTCTTCAGAATATCTTGTTTTCTGTGTGTTTTCTATGAATGCGGAATCATTGCCTGATCGTGGACTAACTGAACAAGGTCGGGTCTGACGCGCTACCGATTACCAGGACACTTACAGACTTCTTAATAATAATAATAATAATCATCGAGACAAGAGACGATATCAGTTTCTTCACGGTTATGCGCATTTTAGCGGTAAACCATAACAAGCAAAATTAATTTATGAATGTTCAACTCCGCGCGATGAAAACATATCTCAAAATCTTTGCATCGCTTTTGGGAAAAAAACTGTAATTTCTCAAAACTTCACGGCCACTTCCTTTTCCGTGAAATGATATCTATATGGGCCGCTGCTTTATTCCTCTTGACGTCACATAAACACTAACCATGTAGAAATGTAGACACTTCTCTGCTCTGTCATCAGCATGGCGAGATACCCAAACCACTTCACTGAAAATATTTTGGTAGCCATGTCATCTGAGTACGCAACTCCACCTCTACCTCAATATGGAAATTATGCTTAATATGAGAAACATCTATATAGACCACAATAAAACTTATTTAAACTGACACCGTGTAATTTCCGTATTTTATTCTAAAGAAGGGTTAAATGCCCATCATTTAAATAACAGCCCTGCATATAAACTAACAAATACTACAGGACCGCAGATGACAATATATGCTGTTCCCGTTATAGACCATAAGCTGTTGAGTTAAGGTGGCAGCATTTCCTATTTCATATTCACAACCAAGCCTAGCACAATAATACCCACAGTATTTTGAACATTCGTGATCAATGTATCAAGAGATACGGTTATAATAATGCAACCTAAGCTTTAATAATCAATATCATGTTTAAAATTTAAAGCCGCCTAAATGTCATCGCACAGAAAAACACACAGCTGTCATCAGCATTTACCTTTCCGGAGGACTGCAGCCACCCGTACAAGCGAGACGAGAATGCGGCACGATCGTCATTCAATCAGGCGTCCGGAAAACATTGCAAATGCAACAAATTGGCCCCGCGCCTCCAAATAAAGTACACGGCGTACAGTGTGCGGATACTGTATTTAAAGCGCTGTTTATCCTGCCTGCGCTACTCCTCGAAATATCTCAGCCCTTCCAGCATTTCGGAAGTCATCGCTACCGACAGCTCCCGACGCGCCGCCCAATCAGAGCGCAGGATGCAAATTCCGTTTCAGCGCCCGCCCCCTTTCGCGGAAGGCCGCTCACACGTTATAATGCACATTAAAGAGAAATGCGCTGACCGTCCGAGCACGAGCTTCCCGCACCCGGTTATTCTAGGTCTGCCGGGGCGAGCTGGCTACCGCTCCAGCCCCCACCCCACCTTATTCGGGCCCGAAGGCACAAGGAGGTGCGTAACACGACCCCAGCGAAGTGAGTATTATGCAACTAGGGAGCCCGGAGGAAACTGCGGTTGAGTAAATGCCGTGAGGTGAGACCGTGTCGTCCAATGGCGTTGCTTCTACCTTGACGTCCGATGTCTACTGCTGTGGATTTGTTTTCTTCTGAAAATGACAAACTTTACAATTCACAAACGTTAGCATTAAGAAAACGAAGACTTACACCACACGCGCGCACACGCACGCACGCACACACACAGGTTTGTAATTATATCTTTGTGGGGACTTTATATGGAGAAAACTCTAATCAGAACAACCTTAACCTCTACCTAGCAATAATATTAACCATAAGTAACCAAAGAAAATACGAGGCTTTTGGCATTTTTACATTTTTGATTGCATTCACTGATCTTTGTGGGGACCTGAAAAATGGAACATTTGGTCCCCACAATGTAATATAAACATAATACACAAACACAATTATGAAATTATACCATGACAGCTTTTAGCAACTTTCCATACCGTTACTCTATACCCTCACCCTCAACAATAGGGCAAACAGGTTATATTTCCACTATGAATTATTTACTATCAAAACGAGTGATTATCATGTCAGGAAGCGAAATCACTTTATCCGAATAAGATAAAAATAAGATAATAATAAACATTATTTATTATAATTAGATCGATGTGGCAGTAATTATTGCTATTTTTGCCGGAAACAAGGGTTTACAGAAGGTTTACAGAATCATTATAAGCATAATAAAAACAAAAATTCTTTAATCCTTGAAAAAGCCATAGTCCCGCATCAGGATAGACTTTAGTCAGGTTAGTCAATATAGCTTTTTTTCCCCCCCTAAAAGTAGGCTTTATTGCACCAGCCATAAGCAATAAACAATGTAGATTATAAACGTGAATAAAACAGCATTTAAAAGCGAAATATGCATGAATTGTCCCCGCAGTATTCTCTATTAATAATTTATTAATGAATTCTGAATTACTTTTTAGTTAGACACAATCAGATAAAATTCATTAAAAGCTCTTGCTAAATATAAATCCTCTGAATATTTCGTCATCACTTTCTGCAGTTTCAGAACCAGCATGCAAGCAACGTGTTTTCGAGAGTAAATAATTATTTGTCAGGTGTATTTTGTATACATATGTACACAGCGTTCACCCCGAAAGAACCTCCTGTAGACTGTAACTTATAATTAATGGATATGTTTCTGCCTAAATTTATTTCTTAGTCTTGAATTCTTTCTACATTGCACAAAGTCCTAAAAATGTTGCAATTAGACAAATG